TGCCTCTCCCAATCTCTGTGATTGGAACAAGCTTTGTACCGGAAGGTGGGAGGGAGAGGGACACATCAAATATTGTAACAAACAATTTAGAAAATTCATGCTTTGATATAAAGAAAAATACACTCAGTTCACTTAGCTTTTGCTCTTTCATGTAAGTTAGATGAGAAATTTAAAAAAAAATTAGAATCTTGAGAAAAAACAATGACAAAGGACAGTTGTCTTCCATCAGTAACAGGCACCTGACAGAGATAGGAACAGAAGATAAAGAAGATGGATGCTATCTAAATCCCACATAAACAAACTACACAGCCTTTTACATCCCAGAAAGGTCATTATGTTGTTAGTAAGTCCCAAAAGAGGCAGTCTACAGACCTCCACCAAGTACCTTATGGAAAAGTATATTTTGTCAAACAACATCATCATGAGTGGAGGTGATAATTCAAAGTCGAAAAATGTGTACATATGTTTGGTCCATAGAATTATATATCAACAAAGTAGAGAAACCTATATGGTTAGGGTAATGTATCAGGAAAAAATTGATTTAAAGATAAAAAATTACATGTGGTTTGCAAGTACATAGAATAAAGACATCACTGTTGGTACTCAAACTCAAAGCATGTGTCCTTTGGGGGGGGGGGGTCAACTAACCGGCTGTTTCTCTATAGTGGTCACCTGGCCATAGTGGTCAAATTTGGCCAGTCCCTTGAGTGACCACTATAGGCAGGTTTGACTGTACCATGCTGTTTCTGTGACCCATAACTTGTAGTACAGAAAATGAAATGCATTGATCTTGCCTTTGTGCCTAGATGGACAACCGAGAAGACAAACTAGATGGTTCTTGTATTACCCCCAAAGTAAATCAGTTCTGAACTGCATTACGTAACCCAAGGTAGCAAAGAATTCAAGACATCCAACATTTTCCACTTGAGAGGCAGAAAAGCATTGTTGCATTAGGTTCATCATGTTACAATGCAAACTTTAAACCAGAGGAAATCCCTAAACGTCCTTGTTTGTTTCTGCAGATTTGTCATGCAAATCTCCTGGTCTTGTTCTTTCCGCAAAGTTATGCTGATCAGGCAGAAAAAACTTCCATTGTGTTAGGTAAGATGATATGTCACTTAACAGGAATAAGTGTCTGATCTTGTAAACCAAAGTTGGGAAGACATTTTCATTTAAGATCAATACATCTTGGAAAGCACATGGTCAAGTGCTTCTAGAAAACAATATACATGTACCTGATTTGCAAGTCAGGGGTAGCCTGGGTGCCATGGGGATGTTCTCCTCCATAGTTTCCGCCTGCTCCCTAATGCCGCTGGCTACCACCGAGGAGGGGGGCAGAAACTACGGAGGATGGCACCCAGGCTAAGTCACAGGCAATATGAGGACCTTCATTACATTATCAATGAAAACTGTTTAGAATTGTCAGTTGTAACCACTTGTTATACTTTACAGGTACCATGACATGGAAAAAAGTGACTTTTGAGTTATTGGATGTCCTAAGGTCTAAGGGTACACAACAGACTTTCAACACTGAACTGACATTTGAATTGAACACCATCAGGCCCTTCCAGATAATCTAGGAAGGAGCTTAGAGCTACAGTGTCAGAAGGTCAAGGTCTACCTGTTACCACTAGTTTCAGACCCATCCTTCAAAACTATGCACCAGTGCTAAAATATTTGCTGTATATCAGACATGCAGGAAAAACAGTTTTGTGTTTCAACTGTTTGTGTCCAAACTGTAAAACTCGTTGGGTATTAAAACTTAGCATGTCGAGATTTACCCTTGTGATCTAAAGCATGCAAAGTGTACAGCGCTTCTGGCAATTTGCGTGACTGTTGAGTCTTCTAACAAATGGCGTACAAACATACATGTGTGCTGCAGTTGTTGGGACCTTGAATCACCTCCCCTTCATTTGACTTCAATCTACAACTAGCCTGCAGCAAGATATTTCCGCTTGAAATGTTCACACAGATGCAAGAGACCACACATGAAATATCAACATCATGTGAGCTTGGAAGTTGAAACCTATCTGAAAATGCCTGGCAACTTACATATATGACGTTATTATGAAACATTTGAGATTCAAAAAATCACAACAATGGGTAATCAAGAAAATTACGAGCAGGCAACAATATAATAATCCTAGCAAAATGTGGGAGGGGGGAACAGTCCTCACTTTGTTGTCAAGGAAAAAGTGAAACATCCATTCTAGTCTCAACATGTGAGGCTGGAATAAGAGCATTTGGATCACCTAACTGGTGGTAGCAATCATAATGGTATACGGTATGGAAGAGGGATTTAAAAATGGCATGTTTTGGTGCAAGATCCCCTATCTTAGCCTTTTTACCAAGATAGTCCACTGCGATCTGAGCCTGGAACATGTCAGCTTACAGACTCCAATTAGGCCCCAGCACAGGTGCAGGGGGAGGGGGAAGGTGAGAGTACCCTGGAGACTGGGCTCACTAAGCCCAGGTTTTAACAGCAGTAACTTAGCAGGGTGTTGGTTACAGGTGAGAGGATTATCAGGCCTGACTTAGAACTTCTACAGCTGTGACCTTGAACTATGAGGGTACTGGAAAAGGAACATTAGGGTCACCCTAATTACTTTAGACTTAGTTTAGTCAAGGAAGTGAGCTTTCAAGCGGGGAAAAGTATGATGGTAGAGTATATTTTATCATATGTGATGAATCTGTGTTGGTTGTGGCTAGCACAAGGAAGAAGTTTTGTACTACAGGTACCTTAGTCTGCGTAATGCAAACTATGCCGTCCACGGCTTTTGGGGTGTCTGGATGTTGGGCGGGTGGCAATTCTAAAGCAATTTAATCAGGCTACATGTCCCTTAGCCTGGTATCCAGTCTGATTCGTGGTCGGGGCCCCAAGAGCTCTGGCCCGCCCGCCTCACATAAGCTTCCCGGTGTGTATTTCACGAGAGATTAATTCCTACCTGGACGGTCTGTTGCACTGGGCGGGGGAAGCTCTTACTAGTCTTAGAGGCCCGGAAGACACAACCTGCCTAAACACCCCAATACCCCCAATCACGATCAGACTGGATACCAGGCTACATGTCCCTGGACCCTGGCACATTTTGTTTGAAAGAGTGGTTTATTCTAAACATTGGCAAGGAGAGACATCTGTAGATGGGTCAACAGCAGAGGATGTTGAATGGAAAGGATGGAATTTAGGGACAGCATGATGATTAAATGTAATTTGGATTGAGAACTTAAAAGCCTGTAGAGAGACAGCTATGTTCATCAGCACCACCTACCATGTTGTATATGAGTGGCAAGGATGGTTGTAGTTGGGAGTTGGAATATTGAGAAGGCAGAATGTCATAAGTGTGGTTATTTACGAACATTGTATGTTTGAAGAGAAGTGAAAATTATATTTTTGGCTCCCTAGACCATACCAACTTACATTTGAACTACCCTACCTAATACATTCATGAACTATTCACATACACCTACATTTGTCTATAAACCGGGTACATGGACCTGTGCACCTAATTAGGGGTTTAATTAGGTGCAGGTAGACATCTAAAATACCTGCACAACCCAAATTTTACCTGCACTAAGGTGCATACATGCACACAGTATTTTGAGCCCTGAAGAGGTTATGTTGGGTTTCTTGTGCTTGTTTGTTGGGAAGTTTATTGTATAAAATTGAATGATTGTAAACCAAAAAAGAAATCTGAAAGAATTTTCATCAGTGTCAGCAATTCCAAATCAGATTTTTGTATAGGCAACAGTTTGAACAAAAGCAGACATTTGCATCTCAATGACCAAACCGGTACTTCCACATCTTGAAGATAATTCTTTCCTTAAGCATCAATTATCTACACTTACTGAAGTCATTCGAGCCATTCCACAGGGTGAAGAAAGCATGTCTCAAGAACTGCTGTTCACAGGTACAAATGTTTGTGTTTGAATCCCAACTTCTTTTTGCTCTCATTTTTTATTTCTATAGGCAGGGAGGGTATAGTGGAATTCCTGGCCTTAGGAAACTAGAAAGGCCGACATTTGCTTTGGAGCAAATTCAGCATGGCTTCACCACATTTCACAACATGGCAGGGAAAGAAGGAGAAATACAAGGGAAGATAAGGTTCTTTATTCACCAACAAGTGGTTTTCATATCTGACGTTTTGGTCATCGTCTGTCACCTTCTTCAGGACAGCAGAATGTAATCATTTAAGGATAATAGGTCCTCATAGTTTTCTAAAAAGTGATCTCATTTTATTTTCAGTGCATCATGGATCAGATCTTTGACATGTATGACAAGAACGCTGACGGTACAATTGATGCATCTGAGCTGGAGGCAGCCTTAAAAATGGCCGGTATAAGCGCTTCAGGGAGATTTGTCCAGGTAAACAGAATCAAAATCTGACAGCTTGAAAACCTGAGCGCAATGATGTCTAATTAATAGACAATCAAGAAGGCAGTGACAAATTCCAGTACACAATACTAGATATGACTGCAATGTAGATCCAAATTTGGCTTATGTCAGATGCAGACAAAAAGGTTTTAGGGTTAGTGTGTTTTGCAGGTGCATTTTGCACAGATTATTACACCTAAGGAATGACTGCCTTGACTGATAGACAATCAAGAAGGCAGTGACAAAATTCTGTACCCTGTCGAGTATGGATATCGTACAATAATTTCCGTCTTTTTCATGTCAATGCGGTAGCTATTTTATTCAAAATCTATTCATTATTGCAGAACCAAAATGAAGACTACAACAACTGCTCCTAGAACTAAACAGTAAAAGGTTAGATGGATTTTGGCAACACCACATGCCTTATACAAAATTACTATATTGAGTTATAACTACTTTTGTACTGGGTCATTTTTTTCAGATGGTGAAAGAGAGGTGCGATGCCAATTCTGATGGGAAGCTGACAAAAGACGAGTTCGTGAAAACCCTTCAAATCTTTCAAGAGATTGCAGAGTTCATCGCCTTCTTCACTAGCGCTGACACGGTTAGTTTTTGTCCATACACAATAGGCAGGGCTCGAAATACATTGCACTTTTCTATGCATACCTGCACTGGTGCATGTGACATTAAAAATTACCCGAACCACTCAGAATTTGGGAAGAAAGGATCACACTGAAAACTGTTCAGAACCATAATGCCATTATTCCTTTCATACTTCACAGGTGGACTAACAGTCAATGCAGCAAATGAAATCCACATATGCCTACTTTTGTACATTTAAAACATAGTACATGGACTGGTGCAGCTAGAAATAGATTCTATTGAGACAATTACAACGAGACATGCTTATTTACCTTTCCCATTTTTCAGGATGGCAGTAAGACCATGTCATTTACGGAGATGGAAACCAAGGCCATCGCCTTTTACATGACCAATGAGGGTACCCGTGTCGATCGGTACGTGTTTGAAGCTGGTACCAGAAATGCACAACAGTTACGTTGCTCCTGGAACGGGGACCCAGACAAGGAGATGAAGCTGGAAGAATTCTTGGATATCATGTATGCCGATAGGCTCTTAAATCTTGAGACCCAGTGAGCTCCATGGAGAGTCTTGTGGCCCTACACATGTTGAGAAAACAAAAGCTAAGCAACAGAGGCAAGCATATTATATCAGAGTAACTACATCATCTCTAAAACTGTTTATGTTTATTTATGTTTATTTGATCGATCTCCATTAGTGCGTACAACAATAATACAACACTAGTCTTCCTGGAGTCGTTTGAATACAAACACTGCATTATACTATACATACATACATATACAAGAAGCGAACGTAACTTAAATACAACATGGCAAATAAAATGCAACATAGCAATGAAATGCGACATGGGAAATGAGAATACAACATAGGGTATAAAACTGCTGAGAGGTCAGAGGTCTCAATACAGTTAAGAACAAGTAATTCTATACATCAGTCGTCGCACTTCCACCATGATTGCAGAGGTTGGGATACACACTGTGTACAACACACTGTAACAAGATACACACTGTATATTGAAATGCCATATACTATCTATGGAACCATCTATACCACATAACACTTTTGTCATTCCTAAACATACAACAGAACTTATTTAGAACTTATTTATTTAGAACACATTTAGAATAGGGAATAGGGGGATAGAGGGATAGGAAGATAGAGGGATAGGGGTATATAGGGATAGGGGGATACAGGGATAGGTGGATAGGGGGATAAAAGGACAGGGCGATAGAGGGATAAGTGGATAGGGGATAGGTAGATAGGGATTAGAGTTTGATAAATAAAGCTTCTGGTTTTATATTTTCTTATGGATTACATGTATTTCTAAATAAATGTTCTGTGAGCAATTAGATGCTGTATCTTCTCTATTATGTTTCTTTCATATGATATCCTCGTCAGCTGACTATTCAATCAAGTATTTAAACTTTTAACAACCCTCAAAGAAATGATCTGCATAGCCAATAAATTTCCAACAACATACATAGCATCCAAAATTTATGCAAGACATATATGGACAGATGGAACAGTTAACAGTGAAACTTATGACATTTGAGTACTTAGAAACCTGACACTTCACCACAACATCACATCAAACAGATGTCCTAATTGGCTGAATTGGTGGTTATATATCATCTGGAGTGAAAGAGTAGAGTCCTCAACAGACCAGCTGACTTTTATGGCCACTTGTGTTTATAAAGCTACTGATGTGTATGTTCGCCTACTGACCCCAGGCTGACCACCATATGGGAAGTCCTGAACTCTTCTTGACCTCGCACAGAGCAATAAACACAAGAAAAGCATCGAGAACAGGAGAGAGGGGGAAAATTATGAAAAAGGAGAAAAGAAATCAGCCGAAAAAGACATTGGTCTTATTTTTTGTATGACATAAATGTCCTGAGCTAGCAACAGTCATGTCTTATCTATGTACATCAATCAGTAGATCTAGTCTAGCCCGACCACCATTTTGAAAAGAAATTTCTGATAAATCAAACTTCAAATAGGCAAAATGATAGAATAATGTTTCAAACGAAAGATGGTCTTTTATAGTGATAAGCACAGACAGCATTGATACAAAAAAAAATTGATGACCTAAAATGTCAACCACGCTACACAAGAAGATTTCCTTTCCTTTAAGAACTGAAATGGAATGAGGTCAAAAGTTTGTTGGTATTTTGGACACAGCACAATGTTGTCTCAGTTGACTAGTTTACAACATTGTAAATTGCTGTACTGTATTCTCAAAATAACAGTATGCTTTTACGTTTAAATGGACAATCAGGTTACAAGACGTTCTGTGATAAGCTAAAGTCAAATTGCAAAGAGGTCTACAATATCTTTTACCTGATAGAAGAAATGACTTGACAATTGCATGCTGAAGGTTGAAAAAAGTCTTCATTATACCAAGGAGGGTACCATTTCTCCCTTAGCACATCATTAACACAGTGGACACAACAAAGACCTTACACACAAGAAACATTGGACAGCCCAATTTTCAACATCTCCAGGGCAAAATTATCTTCGATTGAAGGACTCTTTTACTGTTCCTAACACAAAGGAACGTACGGCTTGTTAGGGTGGCATGTAATTCAACAACTACAAAGAGGCCGGTCAGCAAATTATACACGTGGTGAACCCAATAGTAGGGTCTTCCCAAATGGGAGGATTGCTAGGTCCACTTTACAACCGGTTAGAGTTGCGACAGTTACACTTTTGATGTTTGAAAGGGAGGAGTAAAACAGCAAGGACAGTGCGAGGAGAAAACCCACCTGGACGTAGTAAAACCACACCTGGAGGAAGTGGATTACAGAGCAGGGGAAGGCTTATATTACTGCAGTCTGTAATTGGGGACATAGAAGATCACAGAGGCAAGGCACAGAAGAAATTCTGCACTTGCCAACTACTAGTATTGAGGACCATTTGACAAGGAGTTATCTCTTGTACCTTAGTAAGTAACCCAGCCACCTGACACTGGAAATAACAGCTGTGTGATCTTGCCTGCAAGAAATGAAAGGCAGGGAAACTTGCAAAAGCTGGGTAGACCAAAATGATGATGATGAAAGATAAAAATGTAGGTCTTAACAACTTTTGCATATCCTATTGAAGGCAGTCTGAACAGCAACAGATTGATGTAAAAAATCTTTATTGATGCAAATCAACATGGAGTTCTATGCCCCTTTCAAAGGTCATTCAAATGCTCTGTAAACCAACATGCAGTTATATGACATTCTGCAAGCTGGCACTGTTGAACAACACCAAAACTGGCTATGAGTGTTTTTCTTCTGTGTAGTATCCCATTTTGAATGAGGTTTATGAACTAGATTTCTTGGTTCAAAATGGTCTGTTGTTCTACAATACTTTATGAAAATCCTCCTTTGGTCCATTGATGATTTCTGTATCCGTCCTCAGCACCAACTGCACTAGTGATGCAGCACTTTTCCATGCCTCTAGCTTACACATACAGTCCAGAACTTCACAATCAGAGCTTTTCTGCATTTCTGAAATAGATTTTTCTTGCCTATCTGCATTTTGTTGACTGTATTCAACAGGCAAGAATTGGGTACTTACTTTACTTTCCAAACAAAGTTTATCATCTTGTTTCACGGGTGTTGTGTGCGTTGTTGGCTGGTCAGTCCAGTAGGCTGAAACTTTATCTGCATTTGCTGCAGTTGTCAAAGTCTGTTTATGACATGCAACCCTTTCCAAGGAAGCTTTACTCCCTTCCTGTCCCTTAAGTAAAGACTCCATTTCAGCCCTGGCATGATGTGGAGATGAAAACCTTCCCGAGTTGACCATGACTGACAACAAGTACTGCTCAAAGCTTTCAGCAAGTGATGAAAAGACCACTGGCCTATGAACAGAGAGACATGTCCATTTTGTACCTTTTACAATAATAACATCATGCAATATAGCACATGCAAAGATGATGTCAACCAGTGTTCTAGCCTGGGCCAGCCTGAAATTTTTCTGTCATCTCAATTTTGTTTCACATAAAATCATGAGCGGCCAAATTTCATCAAAGAACAGATATATGGACGCTGCCTGGAACACTGATCTCAACCACAGTCAATAATACCTTTCAAATAATGACACCTTCTGGGACAAATGCTATTTCATCTGCACACTTCAAAACTCATTTCTTAAAGACTACTAGTAATATCTACATGTAACATACCTGAATTCTTTGATGGATAATGACAGCCAAGAACCTGGATGAATACCGGACAGGGAATGATGTGCACCTGATGTGTCCCTGAGACACCTGATACAGGTGAGTTCAGGTGAGCCGCCACCTGGAAGGACCTTTCCTTCAGCCAATGCATTCTTCAACCTAAAAATGACAGCAAGACAGATTTGCACTTGAAGAAGAAAATATGTACATGTTGTACATTATAATTTCAAGTTAATCACTGTATTCAGTGTTCCTTGCAGTTCTTATGATATATCATTTTAGATAGTAAATGTTATCATTTTTTGTCCGTACTTTACAAAAAGGAAAATTAAGGTGTACATGTAGCATGACATGGGAACGAACATAAGACCAAACATATATATGTTTGGGAAAACAGTAGACAATACCTATGAAGACAGATCCAAAACTGCTGTTCCACATGGTGCAGCTCTGCTTTCGTCAGGCAACAGAGAACGGCGCTCCACGTCTGTCCTGGGGTGCCAATCTTCATCAACATCGAGGCTCCCTTGTAACTCTGAAGTGTGTGGTCTTCCAAGAGTTCCAGAGATGTCACAGCCCCGACATCGAGACTGGTTGAGTTGTGTATGTAGGTTATGATGAATGCTCCTGTAGCATCAGCTAAAGTCTGCAGTGTGGAATATTTTACTTGCTGAACCACTACACAGTTCATTGATAGGCAAACCTCCATCACATCTTGGTCCACAATGCCTTTTGCAAGGAGTAGCTCTACGTCACAGTCTAGTATAACCTTCTGGACTCTTTCTAGCCATGACTTTGGAGCTTTATAAGATCTAGCACCATACTGAATGCTTGAAACTTCAAGAGCTTTCTTGTACCCTGTGTGGTGAAAGTTCTCTGTAATGTCTCCATTTATGATTAAGACCTTCCGTGGTTTGTTCTTCCCTTGGAGTATAGATGCTAACTGACCTGAACCCACTTTGACAACAATGCCATCAGTAACATAGGACTGTTTGTGATCTACTCCACTCACAAGACAAGTATTTGTTATATCAAAGTCTCCAGGTGAGGCTCCTTGCCTTTCATGCAGTATCTGCTGAAACACTTTACATGCCAGCTGCATTTCAACACAGTTTCCATGACTCAATCCCTGAGATAATCTACTTAACGTCAAAGAAGTTTCATTGGCCTGAAGAAGATTACTTTGTTTTGGATAGTCTTCTGTCTTCTCTGAAGCATTGTGAGAATCAAGATCTTGAAGTTGCAAAGGAGGATTTGGCTCTGATGGTAAAAAATCTACAAGTCCTAGGTGTCGACTTCTTATCTGCAGTTTTCTATTCTTGTCATTTTCCTTTAGCTTGCTTTTCAAAAGCTGTTCAAAACCTTCCCGTGTCATGTCAGGTTTCTTTGATGGCTGAGTCACAACAGATTTATTCTGAAGGGTTTCTCCATGATGACAAGCATTACTTGAAGATTTTGATGGGAAAGTCTCTTCAAAACAAGCAGAAAATTCATCTTCCTCTTCATCATCATCAGTAGGCAACACATCGCTTTCTTGAAACTTTTGCTGAAATGATTTCTGTATTGAGTCTGTGTCTTCTGTTCTGCTAGCATCTACATTTATAGCCTGTACATGGAGTGTGGGATTACGTGCACTTGAGAAAGGCGCAATTGTTTGCGGTTCAAAGTACCAGGAAATGTCATCTACGTCATCGGATTCATTTTCACATTGACGGCTGACTGTTGTTAATGTACCTGTACTGTCTGTCTGTTGTACAGAAGCAAAAGGTATAGTCTTTGTGTGGTAATCTGTCCTGACAATTTCAGTTGACTTCTCACACAAAACTTTATCAACTATGATTGCTGTCTTTTCCACCTCCTCACAACACATCCTTACACCTTCCTCCAGACAATGGCAGACTGCGGAGAAAGGTATCCCCAAATGTATGCAGTGCCGTGCAGCCCTTGCGAGAAACCCTGCCATGCACACCAGAGTCTTGCTGCCTGTTCCGTACGTTCTGTGGTGTGACTGACATGCTGAATTCAGGAGCTGACCAACAGGATGGTCAATGTTGAGGTTACTCAGTAGATCCGGAGCGGTGCTGACCAGGACACTGCCTTCAGGGCCTGAGTCGTCTACGATGCACTTAAGAGTTCTTTGAGGACCCAGCAGGGACTGTGCACAAGAAGCCACCGACATCAGTACATCCAGTCCATTGGAAATTTCACTAATTGTTGCCATCATTGCATATCTGGAAAAACATTAAGTGATGATCTTTCTGTAAAAGCTGTAATGACATAGGACTGTGGAAACACTTGAAAAACATTTATGTTATATATGTTAGCATTGGTCAACATTCCCATCTCCATGGGATCGAGAGGGACACCCTTGGACAACTAACGAGATGTTGGAATATTTTGGAGATAAGTGAGAGTTGAGACAGACAGACATATTTTAAAATGATATATTGTGTTACATTATATCATATTATGTTGTATAAAAGGAAATGCGGAATTCCAGTTTTCACCACTCAAAAAGAAACTGCGTTGAGCCATGCTATGTTTCCGGACGCACAGCGGTCTAATCTCCAAGCAGATCTTTGGGTGGCTGCACCAAGCCATGCACACCATAATGTTCACTCATCTATCCCTCACCTTGCTTCAGCCTATCATAATAAGGACCTCCATATGATCGCATTCGGTATGGTTGACAAGAAATTTAACCACGACAAGATATTCGTGTCCTATGTCGATGAAATATAAAGAAACTGCGAGAAAATCTGTTCAAGTCAGCCGCTGTTTATGAAATCGACAACGCGCAGTCGTGATGACCTCTTGGACTATCGCATTCAATAGTGGGTATCTTGCGCTTTTCTTAATAAAATACATGATACTAAAATTGTTGTAACTAGCACTGATACTTTATGACATATAAAATCTTTCATTATATATTTCATACTAATCCGATAACTCTCAGAAAACACTGAGTTATCATTGTTTTAGATGAAAAGAATTTTGTTGGTCCCTATAGTTTCTAATGGTATAATCCAACCACACGTGCAGCTGATCGTGTCCGGAACTGTTTTGGTTTTCTTGTGTCCAAATTTTAAAGACCGTCGTTGCAGTTTTCTCGACATTATCGGTCACCATGAGCGAGAGGAACAGGAACCAGCTTCCCAACAACCTCCCCCAGCTGCAAAACCTCATCAAAAGGGACGCAGAATCATACAGAGAGGAGGTGAGATTTGAGGCACCACGGCCAGATATAGTGACCCTTGCTTATAATTTCTAACTTTAATACAGTACTGTTTATTTTGTCCGAAAGAAACCCATTCCATAAAGCAAACCCCAAAGGAGTAAGAATTTGATTACGAAGTGATAACGAAGTTTGGATCAAATCATATCAAATTATATGCATAATGTGTATTTCATCATAGCCCGATGCCACAACTTGCGGTTATGAGTATTGACATATGGATGATATCACATAATCACTAAATCAGACTAAATCCTATTTTAAGTGATATGGAATATGAGAGTAATAGATAATACATGCACACCATGCTACTTTGCTAAGTTGTTATCCATCACTCTCTATTGTCTTTGTCTCTATTGTCTAATGTTATGATAACCCGTCCTGTTACTAGTTCTTACAGCAGTACCGACATTACCAGTCCAATGTGGAGATCTTCCGCCTGAAGCCTCAGCAGTTCTCCAAGAGCCTGGATGACCTGGTGATGTTTCTGGCACAGGTCAGGGACATGCATGGCTTATTGTTTTATTAAACTTGATAGCCTGGGGGATTCAACACTGTAGGTTGTTGTTGCCACTACCAGAACCTGCTTAGAGTCATAATGGAAAAGCATATGTAACATACACACTACTATGTAAAACAGCCGAGCTGTTTGAAACAGAATGAATGCATAAAGGATTTGAAAAGGAAAATAGCTGCGAGAGGAAGCATGCCAAGGGTGCCAAGTAGTTGAGATGCTTATAGTCAAATTCAATGAGAGAACCAAGTTACAAGAGTACGTAACATGATGATTGGAATGAAAATAGTCTCAGTAAACGTCTTACGGTTCTTGTGCAGACCTGAAGAGAAAGTGTCCTCTGCATTTTTTATCAAAACTGACAGGAGGCACTGTTGTACTGTGAAACAAAATTCTAGGTCAAAACATTTCAGTGACTCTAAACAGCTCAACCAACAATACCATACTAGTAATCACTGTTATGCATGAAATTTGGAAAGAGCTGTATTATTTTGCTTTACCAAACCTATGAGTATGACATCTAAAGCCCTGTTTCACAGCTTCAGTGTATCTATCAGACCTTAAAGATGATGACACACTATTGCACGCTTATTTTGCTTTCTTTGCAAAATTCAGACCTACTGCTACCGCTCCGTAACCTGGGATTAAATCTTTGTTAAATATGTGACTGTTTCTTCAGGTGGCCCATGCCTATCCTGAAGATCTGGCTGACTTTCCCCAAGAGTTGAAAGATCTCCTTAAACAGCACTGTACAGTGTTAGACCCCTCCTTACGAATGGTAAGTCATTTCCTTATAAATCAGAAAAACGTCTGACAGTTGGACTTATTACATGTATATCTGACAAAAAAGGCTTAGCCTTGAAAAATGCCCTGGTATTGCTGAGTAAGTACAAAATATTACATCATGATGAAATATATTCTACATTTGGCACAGTAACTTCAGGTAAGATGAATTTGACAACTAAGATCAGTTGATTATTTTTGCTGTTAGAATAATGAGTAAGTGTGAATGACAGAGTATCTGCAACAAGATTGCTGCCTCCCACCCGCTCACATGAAGCTGCTTTTGTCAATCATGAACAGAAACAAGTTAATGATAAAGTGGTTATTGGAAAACAGTTGCATGACTGATAGACACTATCAGTCAAATCCAGACATACAGGTATATTGAAGAGCGGGAATATTGTGTTGATAGTACACCTTCCCCCTAAAGGTACTGTTTGCATTTAACGGATTATCATACTTAGCCAGCAGGCAGTTTGCATACCACGAAGAAAGGTGGGAGTCTGTGATTTATAGTTCATGTCCAAAACATATAGATGTTTGGGAGCTTTATCCAAGCTGCGAGGTAAGGGATGTGAATCTTAAGGGGATTACAGTGACACTATGGTCTATCTTAAAGCACAGGTGTTTACTTTATGAAATTACAAAATGAAAAAGACACAGGCGATGGCTATCTGTCCTCAACTGCCTTGGGGCTATCTACTGGTGTATACATACTCTCTATGCCATGCTATTTAATGGTTCATCCCTAGGAATGCATGAATTCTTGGAAATGGACAGGAGATTTTCTGGGCTTTAAGTTGTGACTGCTTATTGGCCATATAACATTATGTAGTAAATCGAGCACTCCTTTTGTGGAGCTGAAGTGTTAGGGGAACAGTGTTTTGTTTCAATGTCATAAGTCTACACTTAAAATTAATGCTTCTTTTTTATATAACATTATGTAAAAATGAGTTATACATGTATGTAAGGCTGGTTGCAGACTTCAAGATTTAAAAGTTGTGTTGTCCGATACTGGTATAATTGGAATACTAGTACATCTCCTTGCCACGGTCTCTTCTATGCATACAAATTTGTATTGGCCGCCACACAGGTTTTTGTCTGGTAACATATGATGAATGTCAGCAGCTCACAATATTTAGGTCATGATTTTCTGGGTCAATCAAATTCAATTAGGGCATAGTATTTTAGTTATAAGGTGCTACTTTTCAAACTGTTGATTTGATGGTTTCCAATCATATTTTTTTATACTTTGAGGTACAACTTACCATCAATTTGTATGTTTTTGTTCATGTAAATGTCTGATTTACTGGCTTACAATATCATTATAGTAGTGGAGCCTTTTCAACTTGGATAAACCCCCAATCCCTCCTTGAACCTTCTATTATTATATAATTTTTCAATAAACAGATTGAGATACAATGACAGACAAAAGGCAACACGTTCAAAGAAACATTTATTGAAAATCCACTGTCCAACTCTGCTTGACAACATCTATTGGTGGCAGCTCACCCTGCGAAAAAACAATTCCCACAGAAAAAAATGGAAACAGCACTGCTTGTCACAAAGTTAACTCACATGGTAACTCATCAGTAACAAGTCTCTCCTGATATTGGCTGATCTCCGATGGCCTGGAGGTATTGGCTGGCTGCTGCGATCAATTAACAGAGTGTGTTAATTAAGCCGTGGATCATGTTAATTAAACCAGAAGGCGGATGGGCACACTGGGTTCAATTAACGAAGTTAGTTACATGTAATTGAACCGGGGGGTCTGCCAAACCCCCCAGCCCCTCCGCCAAAACTGAACCAAGCTCACAAGAGATTGGTTACTGGGGTATTCACATGGTAATGCCAGGGGTAAACTATAAGGGTTGTCTTCTGTGTACGTCATGCTCAATCGGGAAAATACACATTTCAATATGAAATGTCCCAAAAATTGAGAAAATTTGGTATCTGCAAACAAAAATTTAACAATATGAATTCCTACGTCCAAATCTGGTACAAGAATTCCATCCCAAAATATATATATTGCAATATTCATTTTTCAAAGTACTTTTCATCCATACTCTTGGCACTAAATGCACAAAACAACTTCTATTTGAGAAGAATGTAATGCAAACTTGCTTTTGAAGCAGAAAATGTTATGGATTTTTCTATAGACAGCAAGATCGCTTTGTGTATATATAGTAAATTTCAGCAGAGCTTGGCAGGCATAAAATCTTATTTCAATTATATGCTTTTGGCTGTATTGTAAATGTCTGAAAGCACACTACAGATACCCCTGGCAGCTCACAGTCATCATGTACACTTGTCACAAAGCAAGCTCTGACAACATGAACACTTCACTGTTTTACACAGCAACTATTACTCAGCTATGTCTTGGACAGCACAGAGCCCATGTGTACCCAGCAGTTCCATCAGAAATTGATTGTTTTCAATAGTTATGGCCATAATAGTTCTTCAGAGCTGTGAAGCTGCCAACTTTTTCACAGCTTTGAATTTGTTTGTCTTAAGTTATGATTTGAGTGATAGAGCCCTTTTGAGATTGAATTGAGGTGGAACCAAATGCTGAATTTCATAATGTTCCATCACAAAATAGATGTATGATTCAACTTGGTTGATTTCATATTTTCCATTCTCCATGTCATTTTAGGTCAGTCACTGTTGTTAGATTTTGGATGTTGGTAAAGCAATTTTAGGCTAGATTTCATTCCAACAAATCATTTATGCAATGCTTATGAGTTGAATATGCCTCATTCAACATGGGAAATCTAATTTTCCAGGCAATATTTCAAACATATTACATTGTAAAGCATGGTTGGATTAATTTTATAGAACATTTCCACACAATTTGAGTGATTTGTCATCATGATGGAGAAACCTTCTGTGCGTAACATTTTCCGTAATCCTCTGGAACTGTGGGTTTACATGGGCCTTTAAACCTCTAGATTCTGCAGGCACATTTGGAATTCAATTCTGCAACATTCATTGACACACTAGAATAAAGCACTCATATAATACGGACTGAAATACTGAGTGTGCTGCCTCACAAATACAGTCATCACCATGTTTACTACTTAATATATTTAAATACAGGTGTTAGAATACCTTTAAGTTAACTATTTTTAGTTTTAAGGACAGATACATAATAAAATACTGAAAATTTAGGTAGCATATCATCGGAAATCAAATATATGACAAACATGGGGCTGTAGTAATGATGTTTCTTGAAAGAGGGGTACAAATTTTCCACCCCTATCAGATATCATGTTGGTACATGCCAAATCTTTGGAAGGAAGTTTTAATTGCGTGATGATTTTTGGATGATTTCTGTATCTGTTGGATTTTCTTTTCCATATTCATTTCCATATATATGTTTCAAATTTGTTCTTAGAAATTATTTAATTCTTTTCTTGACTTGTGTGCGGCAATCCAAATAGAATTGAAAAGGCCTTGGATGATCCATTTGTCATGCTATGCACGTGACAAGGTTTAACATTACATACAAAAATAAGCCCTTTCTCACTGGGATTTCAAGTACATTGATTTTTTTACGACTACATTTTACATATATATTGGTGTATGTATATTAGGTTTTATCACAAGTATTACCAAAGCTTTGGTGATGGCTGTTGTGCTACACTCATATTCAATTCTCTAGCTTAGAATATCCTACATTTTGAGAGTAGACTTTTTAAAACTTGTTTCAAATTTTTATATAGGTTGCCTTTAATTATGTTAATATGCCAGAAAATGTTGCCAGTAAGAATTAATCTGATTCATTGATTATTCTTGCACTATTACCATCACCATTATCTATTGGTAATACATGCTGCTTATACATAATATATTTCTGTTTTTTTATTTAAATAACTTTTAATAATTATACCACACCTAACAATTAATAGACATTGAATATTTTGGATATATTTACAGCAAGGCAACATACAACCTCCACAATTAGTCCTAGGTTTATCTGTATATGCTTGGTTCATTGTACGTAGTCTGCCAGTACACTTGAATAGTCTTTTGTTCATTAAATGGAGACAAAATACTTTTTCTTGGATAGTTAGTCTACATGCACTTATAGATATATTTTTTGTCCAGATGAAATATTCCATCTTCATTGCACACTACTGTGGAACCTAAAAGTTGCGATGGATCCAAGAAATATTGACAATGCAATGTGATGCTATAGAATTTTACAGCAGGACTAGGTTACAGTTCACAAAGAAAGGATTTGAACTACAGGTACATAAGTCATCAGCTCTAATTGCCGATCTCGCTCAATACATGGACTGAAAATCCATTTATTCATTCGTCTATGTCTCATCAAAAGCAGCTCTTATTATTTCGTGATTTGTTAAAAGCCAGGCTTCAAACTGCGCTGTAAACCTCTGTAGTGTGTGTGAGTACTTATCCACCTGCTCAGCTGACACAAAACGTGTCCCTAAAAGTACTCACTGCCACATGAAGGTGAAGGTTTCGATCTTTGGTGCTATCTGGCAAAGTGTAGAGCTCAATCAGTGGGCCCTTTCCTCCATTTCAATTTCCTTGCATTGATAGATGTTGAATTCACGTGTACAATGTACATGCAAAAAGAACAATACTAATTATGTCTGAATGCCAATGTACAATGTAGTTCAGACTGTAGAACTCACCTACTGTATTGTGTGCATTGACTACATCTACTATAGACTACATTTTATATCTCTCAGATGGCACTTAGAAATGACACATTTATGTGT